CATTGGGCCAGTATTCCAAAGGTCGTAGGTTCGAATCCTACCGTGGCCGGGCATATTTTTCAAGCTCGCCCGGTGTGGATATGCACTCAGAGTAACATCGCAAACATAATATTCACCTGAGTACACAACAACAACACAGAAAAAAAATTCATATTACTAGAACACTTTGGTATTGAAGGAACTAGATACTGTTCCGAAATATCACTTACTCGAACCGTCCTGACCGCGTAGCTCAGTTGGAAGAGCACTGGGCTAGTATTCCAAAGGTCGTAGGTTCGAATCCCACCGTGGCCGGGCATATTTTTCAAGCTCGCCCGGTGTGGATATGCACTCAGAGTAACATCGCAAACACATTATTCACCTGAGTACACAACACCACCACAGAAAAAAATTCATATTACTAGGACACATTGGTATTGAAGGAACTAGATACAGTTCCGAAATATCACTTACTCGAACCGTCCTGACCGCGTAGCTCAGCTGGAAGAGCATTGGGCTAGTATTCCAAAGGTCGTAGGTTCGAATCCCACCGTGGCCGGGCATATTTTTCAAGCTCGCCCGGTGTGGATATGCACTCAGAGTAACATCACAAACATATTATTCACCTGAGTACACAACACCAACACAGAAAAAAATCATATTACAAGAATACATTGGTATTGAAGGAACTAGATACTGTTCCGAAATATCACTTACTCGAACTGTCCTGACCGCGTAGCTCAGTTGGAAGAGCATTGGGCTAGTATTCCAAAGGTCGTAGGTTCGAATCCCACCGTGGCCGGGCATATTTTTCAAGCTCGCCTGGTGTGGATATGCACTCAGAGTAACATCACAAACATATTATTCACCTGAGTACACAACACCAGCACAGAAAAAAATTCATATCACAAGAACACATTGGTATTGAAGGAACTAGATACTGTTCCAAAATATCACTTACTCGAACCGTCCTGACCGCGTAGCTCAGTTGGAAGAGCATTGGGCTAGTATTCCAAAGGTCGTAGGTTCGAATCCCACCGTGGCCGGGCATATTTTTCAAGCTCGCCCGGTGTGGATATGCACTCAGAGTAACATCACAAACATATTATTCACCTGAGTACACAACACCAACACAGAAAAAAATCATAACTATACTTTCGAGCATAAAGAGCACTCAAACAAAACTGAACTTTCGAAATATATTTGGACATTGAAAGATAGCAAGAAAGATTTTAATATCAATTGGCAATTTTAATATCAATTGGCAAATTTTGAAACGCGCTATTTCGTATACGGGAGGATCAAAACGATGTAATTTATGTTTAGAGGAAAAATTTTGTATTTTGAAAAAAAACCAAAACCGTTTACTCAATAAAAGAATGGAAATTATATCTACGTGCAGACATAGGAAGAAATTTCGCGTAAACAACGCAAACAATACACTCCCACAATTCGATTAGGCATTTCCGCGTAAACAATTACGCAAACAATAGATGAATGCATGCTTTGTTTCACCCACACACCCCCACGTTCCGGCCAAAACACATATAAGCAGCCCTATTTTTCGAAACTTGTCATACCGCCTGATGATTCTTTACTGATGAAACAGACTGTTGCGGAATTTTGAGGTAAGCAAAATTATATATATATATATATATATATATATATATATATATATATATATATATATATATATATATATATATATATATATTTATGATAACCTATAAATACATATATAACATAGCTATAATATGTAACATATACGTATAGTGAATTCCTAGATAAGTATAATTTTTCCAAAATAATAATATACATGAAAAAATTACTCGATTCTAATTGGCTAAGAGGAGTGCAATTTTACGAAATCCACTGCCACAAAAATTAAATACAGTGCCAAACGATGACATTTTGATTTAAGTTTTTATTTCTAAAAGTTGTAAACTTGTATTAAGTTGTTGTGCCATTCAAATGAATGGCTAAATTATTTATTTCGCATGTGTCTCATGCTGCAAGTGACTACAAGTTTGCTTCTGCATATATTTTTCATGTATATTATTAATAAATAGTGTATGCATGGTTTTTCTGCTTATCCTTTGGACTCTTACAATTTTGAGCGTCTTTAGAAAATTCATTCGCGTGCATAGTTTTTCCAAATTGCACTCGAAATCATACTATTACTTATACAATAAAATCGATGCATGGTCAGCATATTTTGCATTTTAGGGGCTGTATACAGTATATGATCCCAGCTATATAGGCGGACAAAATGTCATGACGTGTTTATATGGACAAAATGGTGAAAATGCACTGCCGGTTTAAAGCCAGTATATGTTCAGAAAACATGCTCATTCTTCATTATATGGACAATAAGCTATTCTGCAATGTTACTGGCTCTCTGCTAGCATGCAGGATATTGTAGTTCATATCCTGCCTGTAGAAAAAACAAGGCGGCTCAAAAATTACCAGGGTTTTCTGAACGAAAAAACAGCAAGTTTATTCTGCAAGCTCAAATCTTATATCGGCTGATATAGAGACGAGAATTTCGCGTCCTGATTAGAGATCCTAGCAACATATTTCGCGATTCCCGTTCCGCCCAGGCGGGATGAGTGGTGGCGTCGTATAAAAGCTCAAGACAATATAATCCCCGAGCCGGCGGCGCGAACCGCCGTGCGAGGGTACTAATTCCCCCCGGCTATTTACACCCGGGGAAACGAAAGCATTAGCGAAGTCTAAAGTTCATCAATGAGCGCGGGCGTCGGTCACCAACGATGGGTGGTCATCCTCACTGATCTCAAAAATATGGCGGACTGTCATGAATAACGGACACTGATTGGTCCAATTTAAAGTTTGCATTACAACGACTGCATGACGACAGCGAAATAGCAAACATTTCTTGATTTGATGATTGATGAATTTTTTACTCGCATTTTTGCAAGATTTTGTAAATTTCAAGAGTTTTCTCATAAAGAAAGGGCGAAAGAATCGGCTAAAAGAAGGGAGCCGACGTTAACGAAGGTAAGTTTGTTTTAAATATTGATTTTATAATGGCTTTAAAACCCGACGGCCTTTGCGTATATTAATATGAAACAACTAAACAAGACAGCATATAATTTCAGTGTATCTTTAATATTG